ACAGGCAGTGAAAGATCACTTTGAAAAAAATAGCATGGCTTGAAAGAAAGAGGACTAGACTTGAAGATAGACATCCAAATATCAGTGTTATATAAAAGGCAATGACAGGGCTGGGGTTGTGGCTCAGTGGTGGAGCACTTGCCTAGCATGTGTAAGGCACTGGGTTCAATCCTCAGCACCATAAAAATAAATAAATAAATAAAATAATGGTATTGTGTCCATCTATAACTAAAAAATATTTTTTTAAAGGCAATGACAATGAACAAGTCACTTAACCTAATGGAATTTACCTTTTAAATCTATGAAGAAAATTATTAAATGATCTCAAAGACCATTTCTGATTCCAAAATTGTAATTTTAAGGCCAAAGTAGGAAAATTCACTTTCTCTATAATCTTCTCTTTATATTCACAAATCAGTGAATATAAAATGTGAAGATGGACTGGCAGCTTGGCTATTTGAATGCAAAATAAAAGAAATAAGTTTGTGTTGGTTTTTTAAAACTTGACTACCTGATGACAAACAAACAAATATAGAAAAAGTTCTTTTAAAGAAAAAAGTCTTTAAAAAGTAATAAACAGCATGATATTAACTATGTTTTCATATTAGTATATGATAATTTCTTATTTTTCTACTTCTGCACAGGAATTTGTAATATAACAATTTGAATTTTATTTTCAATATTTCCTTTACTATTTAAATTTCACTGTCAATTCTCATTTCAAGAACTAAGTCTGTAGTGTTAGCAAAGAGCAGGCCATGTTAGCTCCATGATGGAAGAAATGCTGGAGTGAACATTTTTACTTTGCTGATTTTTCCAAGTAACTTTCTAGTATTAGAATAAAAGATGGCAACTGCTTCATAGCAGATTAACAACTTGATCCTTTTTTTTTTTTTTAACAACTTGATTCTTAAAGCTTTATTTTCCTTTTCTTTCCTATAAATCTTAGGACCGATTTTCTTTAGGTACAGAAATAATTTGATCCAATATCCCTAAAGATGAAAATTCACTATGTACTATAATAATATTTTTAATAATGTTTCTGTTTATTATTAAAACATTTTTTGGAGGGGGGGAATTGAACACAGCACCTTGTACATTCTAGGCAAATGCTCTAGCACTGAACTACAGGCCCAGACCAAGACTTTTTTTAATGCATCAATCTAGCTACTAGTAGGTATTCTTATTTTGGGAAATCATTTTCTATACTTCTGATATACTTTATTATACATACAGTTTATTTCTTCTTTAAATACCATTGCATCAGACCTTCTGATATTCCATATTTTTTAAGCTTTCCCCAAACTAAGAGTCAGTTTATAAAATCTCTTTAAATTCCACTAACTTTCCTTAATATTTTTCTTTTATAGATCTTCAGGTTTCAACTTCTCAGGAAGAAAAAGAATGTATATATAAACACATGTGTATATCATTGCAGAACTATAGAAATATTAAAGTAGTTATCCTAGAATATTCTACATTTTCATCCATGAATGGTAACAACTGCTTAGAATAATGTATCCTCCAAAATAACAGAGGCCAGGAAAATGACTGCAAAGATCAGGTGATATAAGACACTGATGATAATTTATTTTAAATACTGTCAACAGGTAAGGTAGCTGGGAATGTATTAAATAAAAGTTTCCTGGCACTGTTTACTCTTGCATTCAGTGTCTTATGCCAAAAGCACTCTGAAAATGTGTTGAAAGTTGGTAAAATATTAAGCCAGTTTAGATATACAAGAAACAACAGATGACAACAAACTTATAAAAAACAATGAACTAAACAAACTGTTACTGGAATAGAAAAACTTTATAGATTGAAGTGTTTTAGGAGTGTTACAAATCAGAGATTAAATAGTAAAAGTTTAATATGATAATCTTATGTGGGTACCATGTAAGTCTTATTATCTTGTTATATAGTTATGATGCCCCCACCTCAAACTCAACATGTGTAATTTGAAAACAAAACAAAAACCTACCCAGTTTTTCTTCCTAATCTCTATTATGTGTAAATGTCATCTCCAGTCTCCTGATAGTATTATAATTATATAACTATAATCTAGAGTCATCTCTATTTCCTTTACCTCATCCCAGACCAATACCATGGCTCATCGGTTGGCAAATCCTATTGATTCTTCCTTCAATACCTCTCTCATACCCAATTCCATCTTTCCACTCTCATGGTGGCCACGCTCTTTCTGGTCCCTTACTTGAAGACTTCACTAATCTCCAGAAGATTTCCCTGGATATAATTCAGACTGCTGTTCATTACCAGCTTGATTTTCACAAAATACTGGCTCACCATTATTTGCCAAAGTGCCCACATCTTTGGCTTTAAAGATCCTCTATAATCTGGTCATGATATACCCTTTTGTATCAGCCATAGTGATTACTGGGAGTCTTCATCAATTAAAACTACCTGCTGCTTCTGAACACATTTCTTTTTATTGTCCTTGACTGTTATTCACTTTCTCTGGGTTGTACTACACCCACTCACCACAAAGTCAAGAAACAAAGATAACTGAAATCCTACCATTTTGAAAATCAACTTCAAGTCTACCTTGATAAGCCCCATCATAGAGTGTTCCTTTCATTTCCTCCAAGATTTCAGAGCACCTCACAACAAACACTGAGAGCCAGAGCTACTTCTCATAGTTATAAACTAGTTCTCATGTCTCTGAGACCTTGCAAAAATAGAAAAAAGATAATAAATAATAAGATAGTATAAGAGTAAATGAATTAACATATATATGAGATTCAGATCTTGGGTAACGTTAAAACTATGGATTTGGGAGATGAAAAAAAATCACCTCAAAATTTAATTTAATACTTGAAATATTCCAGATTCTCAATTTATAAGTTTAAAAGGGGAAGAGATGTTCTGAATGTATTGGTGCATAGTGACTCCTGAAAGTACATTAAGTAGTCCTCCCTTAACTATGAGGGATATATTCCAAGCTCCCCACTAGATGCCCCAAACAGTATTATGATATATACCTATATGTATGGATATATAGATGTATGTGTATATACTATATATACACACATGTGGGAGGCCATCCTTGCACATAATTTGAGTTACCTCCCTGGCTGGGCAAGAAGCGTATCCCTGTGTCCAGAGCTTTTCTCAGGTCCGAGGGCTTGTCCTTGTGGAGGCGTGTCTGGCCACTACCCTGAAGACCCAATCAACTTTGGGACACTGCCCCCCTTAACCTTCATTGGATGGGATTTTCCCCAGAATTTTTTGTCCCCCAATAAAAGTCCACTCCCTGGTGTAATCTCTCTCTCTCTCACTAGCCTCTTCAGTAAACCTCGCTACTCTAATAGGTAGCTGGAGGCTGGAGGTAGGAGAAGCCATCCTGGAGCTGGTTTAAAGGTAATAGAGCCTGCCTCTTTAATTCAAAACTCCCTTCGGATTTCTCACGTAGGTGAACCTTCATTTATGAAGCCTGTGCTGGCTGCAGGCTAAACACACATACTATATATAGACATATAGTATATATACATATATACATATATACATATATATACATATATACATATATATACATATATATAAACCATATATATCTATACATCCATATATAACTAAAAATAAATAATAAGTAATAAAATGTAATTATAATAATATAATGTTATTTAAAACTTATGAATTATTTATTTCTATATTTTCCATTAAATTTTTCAGCAAAAGTTTACTACAAGTAACCAAAATAGTAAAAAGCATAACAAATTTGGATACTTTAAACTATGCTATATGATGCATATGATAACTTAAGTAAACACATCCTATTTCTATAAACATATATAAATGTCAGGAGACAATGCCATGACTTGTTAATATACCTCTAACAAAATGTTATTACATTATTACTTGAAAAGAGCTACTTTGTTTACCATAAGCACATCATTATATACAGCTTAATAAAGAAAGCATAACATATAACCCCTAGTTTCTGTTAGCTGAGATAAAGGGAGTATAATTATATCTGAAGTACTGAAGTGTTACAATTAGAAATACTAAATGGAATTCTTTTACTGTGAAATTACTTTCCTCACTTTGCTACAAGTTAGTTTTGTATATGCTTGTACAATTGAAGGCAAGCATAGCATCCATAATATATACTTTATTTTTTCCTTTGTGGGCAGAAATATTGTTTGATGAACTAGTCTATAAATAATATAAAGAAAGCAGAATTTTTTAAAGGGAAAAATAGTAGAGTTCAGAAACAGGACAAACAGAAGGTAAAAAATGTAAACTGAACAGATGGATATTTGATGTCTGTCCCCTCTCCTTCGTTCCTCCCCAAAGCTTCAATTTCTCTTGGGGATCCCTGGGTTCTGAAGAAGGTGACTCTACCCTGGTTTAAACTAAGCAGAGGCCATAGTGCTTGGTTCAAGGGTAAGAATATGACTGAATCCAGTAAAAAGAGTGCATTTCACTTTTCCCCCTATGAGAGTTAGGATTAATCATTCTCATTCTCCTCAAATGTTAACACAGGTGCTTACTGGACCAGCTGAATAGAGTGTATTACAGACCTTGAGGTGGGACAGAATGCTTTAGGATGATAATACTCTTCTAGACAGATGAGGGAAGGAAACTAGGTCCTTGGGGACATTATGGACATTATAGACATTATAATGAGCCAAAGCAAAAAAATCTTGTCTAAATCCAGTTTTACCTTAGCACTTTTTATTTATAGGAGTCAATGAGTTTTAATTATCTCTTAGGTCAGCTTGAAATTTTGTTTTCAGGTACTTAGTAAACAAAAGAATCCTAACAGATACAAGGAAAATTATATGTTGTTAGACAATGATTGGGGAAAACATTTGCTGTTTAAAAGGTTCACAACTTTTAATATATATATTAAAATCAGCAATTCAACACATTCACAAAAGCAAAGATAAATTTTTATAATACCTAAAAACTGCATCTAGATTTAAGAGGAGAATCATCCAATGATTTCATTTTGAGTTCCCTGAAGTAAAATTACTTACCTGTAAGAGTACTATGTCTATATTCTATCTTGTGCTGGGGATTCTTTCTGAAAAAAAGAAAAAAAAAAGCAAAAATAAGATCTAGTTTTACTAAAAACTAATAAAACTATTTAAACTAGAATACTAAGTAACTTACAGAAAAAATTAGGCCAAAAACCTTCTTATTGAAAAACATTCTTTTTAATTACAGTATTTACTAAGTACCTATTCCATGCCAAGCACATTTCTAAATGCAAAGACAAGAGTTATGCAAAGATATGCATAGGTATACAAAGATGAAGTTCATACTTCAGGAACTTATACTCTAGAAAGATAGGATGAGTCAAAACATAGTATGTCATGTTTGTAAGACATACTGTATTTCTGAAATGTCATTATCACACACACAACAATATAATGTAAAATATATGACACAAATATCTGAATGTATTTAGATAAATACACATGCACATATTGTCCAGAAAGACACTAGTAAGGCTCTCCTTGAGTCCTAAGGAAAAAACCGTTTAACTAATGACTCTCGGAAGAATGCCAATTGTTTGTTATAAGGAAAAAAAAAGAAAGTCAATTTTGTTGATAAATTCATATTACGTATTCTAAAGCCAAATATAAACTACTAATGGAACATCATTTTAAAATTATATGTATCTATGACCCATTTCTTCTATTATTAGTTAAACAAATATTTGGTACCCTGTGTGTATAAGATATTTTCCAGATAATGTAAAACTTTGCCAGCAAAAATCCAAAGCAGATGTTAATCATAATCCATTTGATGGGTGGTACTCCTTCCTGAGGTGACAAAAAGGAGGATCATGTATACTAGTAATAGATACATGCTCAAATATACAACTTTCTAATATATCTGTAACAGAAAATAATTATTTTTACATGATGAATTTTCATTTGCTTATTAATTCTTTAAGTACTGGATGAAATTTTCATTGTATTCTGGCTTTAAGCTGGCACTGAAGTTAAGATATATGGCAAGTTATACATTCTTACCCTTGAGGAGACAGAGTCTGGGACCAGGGGCAAAACAGACATTTGATAAGCATTTTTTTTAATTTAAAAATGAGAAGATGGGAAGTACCCCTTATGATATCTTTTAGGAAACAAGTAATAAGTTCAGCCTTAGGCCTTCTTTCTCAGACTAAATAATCCTTGTTCTTCATTAAAATTTTTTTCCATTAGAAAATAAAGCAATTTTTAAAAAGCTAAAGAACTTAGGTTAAGTAAGGATTTAAACGTTTCCCTAAGTCCTCCCACTCAACTTCATATTTCCATATATAGTTCAATGGTTAAAAATGGCCAGGTGGTAGATGTACAATGAACGTGAGCCTAATGAGATAAAGTTCTTGTCTAGAGGCTATACTTTCCAACTTTAGTAATGACCATAAGAAGATAGAGGTCCAGGCAAATTATGAACTGGATTAAAAAACTTGTATAATAATCAGGTGAATAGAGGACACAGAGACTAACCCACATAATTATAGTTATCTTATATTAGACAAAGGTGTCATACATTGGAGAAAAGATAGCCTCTTCAACAAGTGGTGCTGGGAAAACTGGAATATGCAACAAAGTGAAATTAAACCCCTACCTCTCACCATGCAGAGAACTCAACTCAAAGTAGATCAAGGACTTAGGAATTAAAACAGAGACCCTGCGTCCAATAGAAGAAAAAGTAGGCCCAAATCTCCATCATGTCGGATTAGGCCCCAACTTCCTTAATAAGACTTCTGTGGCACAAGAATTAAAATCAAGAATAAATAAATGGGATGGACTCAAACTAAAAAGCTTCTTCTCAACAAAAGAAACAATCTGTGAGGTGAATAGAGCACCTATATTTTGGGAGCAAATCTTTACCCCTCACACATCAGATAGAGCACTAATCGCTAGGGTAAATAAAGAACTCAAAAAGCTAAACACAAAAACAAAACAAACAAACAAAAAACCCAAATAACCCAATCAATAAATGGGCCAAGGACCATATACAAGGATATACAATCAATCAATGAATATGTGCAAAAAATGTTCACCATCACTAGCAATTAGAGAAATGCAAATCAAAACCACTCTAAGATTTCATCTCACTCCAGTCAGAATGGCAATTATTATGAAGACAAACAACAATAAGTGTTGACAAGGATGTGGGGAAAAAGGTTCACTCACACACTGCTGGGGGGTCTGAAAATTGGTACAGCCAATATGGAAAGCAGTATGGAGACTTCTTGGAAAATTGGGAATTAAACCACCATTTGACCCAGCTATCCCACTCCTTGGCTTATACCCAAAGGACTTAAAAACAGCATACTACAGGGACACAGCCATATCAATGTTTATAGCAGCATAATTCACAACAGATAAACTGTGGAACCAACCAAAATGTCCTTCAATAGATGAATGGATAATAAATGGATGGTGTTAGAGAAGATAATGCTAAGTGAAGTTAGCCAATCCCAGAAAACCAAATGCCGAATGTTTTCTTTGATATAAGGAGGCTGATTCATAATGGGATAAGGGAGAGAGGGAGCATGGGAAAAATAGACGAACTCTAGATAGGGCAGAGGGATGGAGTTATAAATGATGATGGAATGTGATGATCATTATTATCCAAAGTACAGGTATGAAGACACAAATTGTGAATATACTTTGTATACAACCAGAGATATGAAAAATTGTGCTCTACATGTGTAATAAGAATTGTAATGAATTCCGCTGTCATATATATAAATAAGCAAATAAATAAATTCTAGTCAGTCTGAGAACCATCCACTTTATTGTTTTTTTTTTTTTTATTGGTTGTTCAAAACATTACAAAGCTCTTGACATATCATATTTCATACATTTGATTCAAGTGGGTTTTGAACTCCCAATTTTACCCCAAATACAGACTGCAGAATCACGTCGGTTACACATCCACATTTTTACATAATGCCCTATTAGTAATTGTTGTATTCTGCTACCTTTCCTATCCTCTACTATCTCCCCTCCCCTCCCCTCCCATCTTCTCTCTCTACCCCATCTACTGTAATTCATTTCTCTCCTTGTTTATTTTCCCATTCCCCTCACAACCTTTTATATGTAATTTTGTATAACAATGAGGATCTCCCTCCATTACCATGCACTTTCCCTTTTCTCTCCCTTTCCCTCCCACCTCATGTATCTGTTTAATGTTAATCTTTTCTTCCTGCTCTTCCTCCCTGCTTTGTTCTTAGTTGCTCTCATTATATCAAAGAAGACATTTGGTATTTGTTTTTTAGGGATTGGCTAGCTTCGCTAAGCATAATCTGCTCTAGTGCCATCCATTTCCCTGCAAATTCCATGATTTTGTCATTTTTTAGTGCTGTATAATACTCCATTGTGTATAAATGCCACATTTTTTTTATCCATTCATCTATTGAAGGGCATCTGGGTTGGTTCCACAGCCTAGCGATTGTGAATTGTGCTGCTATGAACATCGATGTAGCAGTATCCCTGTAGTACGCTCTTTTAAGGTCTTCAGGGAATAGTCCGAGAAGGGCAATAGCTGGGTCAAATGGTGGTTCCATTCCCAGCTTTCCCAGGAATCTCCATACTGCTTTCCAAATTGGCCGCACCAGTTTGCAGTCGCACCAGCAATGTACAAGAGTACCCTTTTCCCCACATCCTCGCCAGCACTTGTTGTTGTTTGACTTCATAATGGCTGCCAATCTTACTGGAGTGAGATGGTATCTTAGGGTGGTTTTGATTTGCATTTCTCTGACTGCTAGTGATGGTGAGCATTTTTTCATGTAGTTGTTGATTGACTGTATGTCCTCCTCTGAGAAGTGTCTGTTCAGGTCTTTGGCCCATTTGTTGATTGAGTTATTTGTTTTCTTATTGTTTAATTTTTTGAGTTCTTTGTATACTCTGGATATTAGGGCTCTTTCTGAAGTGTGAGGAGTAAAAATTTGTTCCCATGATGTAGGCTCCCTATTTACCTCTCTTATTGTTTCTCTTGCTGAGAAAAAACTTTTCAGTTTAAGTAAGTCCCATTTGTTGATTCTTGTTATTAACTTTTGTGCGATGGGTGTCCTATTAAGGAATTTGGAGCCCGACCCCACAATATGTAGATCGGAGCCAACTTTTTCTTCTATCAGACGTAGAGTCTCTGATTTGATATCTAGCTCCTTGATCCAGTTTGAGTTAACTTTTGTACATGGCGAGAGGAGGGGATTCAGTTTCATTTTGTTGCATATGGATTTCCAGTTTTCCCAACACCATTTGTTGAAGATGCTATCCTTCCTCCATTGCATGCTTTTAGCTCCTTTATCAAATATAAGATAGTTGCAGCTTTGTGGATTAGTCTCTGTGTCCTCTATTCTGTACCATTGGTCCACCCGCCTGTTTTGGTACCAGTACCATGCTGTTTTTGTTACTATTGCTCTGTAATATAGTTTTAAATCCGGTATCGCTATACCACCTGATTCACACTTCCTGCTTAGAATTGCTTTTGCTATTCTGGGTATTTTATTTTTCCATATGAATTTCATGATTGCTTTATCTATTTCTACAAGAAATGCCATTGGGATTTTGATTGGCATTGCATTAAACCTATAGAGAACTTTTGGTAATATCGCCATTTTGATGATGTTAGTTCTGCCTATCCATGAACAGGGTATATTTTTCCATCTTCTAAGATCTTCTTCTACTTCTCTTTTTAGGGTTTCGTAGTTTTCATTGTATAAATCCTTCACCTCTTTTGTTAGGTTGATTCCCAAGTATTTTATTTTTTTTGAGGATATTGTGAATGGAGTGTTTTTCCTCATTTCCGTTTCAGAAGTTTTGTCGCTGATATACAGAAATGCCTTTGATTTATGCGTGTTGATTTTATATCCTGCCATTTTGCTGAATTCATTAATTAGTTCTAGTAGTTTTTTTGTAGACACTTTTGGGTCTTCTAGGTATAGAATCATGTCATCTGCAAATAGTGATAATTTAAGTTCTTCCTTTCCTATTTTTATGCCTTTAATTTCTTTCGTCTGTCTAATTGCTCTGGCCAGTGTTTCAAGAACTATATTGA